CCAAGGACCAAGGCCCATAGACAACTAATCGGGGGCCAACTCGTCTGTGAGTCGTGGGCCAACCTGTCCACGGGTCGATCTAGTCGAAAATGGCCGACCTACCCATGAGTTGGTCTAATTAGCTCACGACGGCCAGGCTATTCTTTGTAGGCCGGTTTGGTCGATCTTAAGTAATGACACCATGAAAACCAACTAAGCTAAAATTCAAGTAAAAGCAGTGCGGGATTGTCTCGAATTTAAAGATCATCTTATCTAAGAAATTCAAAAAATATACTCTGATGACTTTAGGAGAAGATATCCTTACATTTTCTACTCTGTAAATGGAAGGAAAATGCTTTTTCTTTGCTTCACACGAAACTTCAACAGTGACTTATGCATCGAAGTATGTAGCTAGTACCATGCTAGTATATAATCTTTCTATTTTGCAATTTCGTCGGATCATTTTTATTATAGAAAATTGATACAGATTTGGACCAATTTATGCATCAAAAACTTCAATTTCAAGTTTTTTTATTATTTTTTATGTTTAAATTTCTGCTTTGAAAATTTGGTTAGATGAATTTTTTTAATCAAATTTATTATTTTAAAATATTGGTAGTGGGAAGAAAACAGGTATGTATGTATATATACTTTTTTTAGTACTAAGATGACAAGTAATTAGTAATTCAAACMTAGCTTAAGAAGGTAAAACATCCACTACTATTCTTCAAGTTTGGGATTGAACTAATAAATACAAATAGTAATTAATTAAAAGGGCTGTGCCCAAATAATTATTTAAGCATTAAAATTATAATACGATGCTAAAATTCTTTTACTTTTCACGTGTTTTCCTGAGAATATTAAAAAAAAATCTTGCAATTGATTGAAATAAAAAAAGTGCTTTCTAAACCGAACGTAAAAATCGTTTTTCATCAAATATCTGTTTCCGTAACACCACTCTCGACTTGGATTATAAATCCAAAAAAGTCCCTCTCAACCATAACACACCTACCTTCTCTTTTCAAATCTCTATTTATGTTATTTTATGAATTTATATGTTAATTCTATTGAAAGAATCAAGTACCATAATTGTCTTCCTAAAGAAAGAAAAAAAAGAAAAGAAAAAACTCATGAACATGTCCAATAAAGAAAAACCTCATGAACATGTCCAATATCATAAAGCTAAACGTGCGATGGAAGACGTACAATTAAGTCTAAGCTAAAATATCTCATAATAGTAGAATTGTACGCGCAAGCTCCTATTTGAGAGTGGGAACCACTACAATTAAGTCTAAGCTAAAATACCTCATAATTCTTACCTTATCAATAATTCCCGTGTAGCTTCCATCACTTATCTATTTACAAAAATCTTCTAACATAAATTTTTTTAGAATAAATTATATTTTTGATTCCAAAAGTTTGACTAACAAGTCTATTTGCTCTTTAGATTTCAAAATCTCATACATTGCCCCTCAAGGTTTATGAAATTATCCCTAACATGAGGTTTGTATTAGTCCCCTTTAACAGAAATATGATAGGATATATTAAATTAATTTAAACGTTGATGTGACTTTTTTTCTTCTTTAGTACAACAAATAGGGGTGGGATTTTGAACCCACAATCTCTTGATCATATATAAGTGTCAATTACCACTGAACTAAGTTCATCTTTGACTGTGACTTTTTATTGTTCTAAATCTCTCCTTCCCCAACTTCTACCCTAACCCTCATCCCCACACCCACCCCTACAATCGTTGGAGCCCACCTCCTCGCGTTCTCCTCTCTATTCTGCCTCCCATAAATTTCACTCTCTTTTCCCAGCCCCCATCCTGTTCAGTTAGCTAACGTAAGATTCCCGTCAAGGACTAAAATGGAGTATTTCTTAAATCTTAGAAAATAAAACTTGTAGACCAAATAGACCTATTACCCAATCGTCATGTACCAAAAGATAATTTACCTAACACAAATGCATGCTAAGCAAGTCTCCTATTGGAACAATAATTAAATTATGTACTCGAAGTAATAATGTTTACAATCCCTAAAAATAAAATTTCCTCATGATGTGACCATTTCAAAGTGAACAATGGGAAGGGAAGAGCAAAAGGAAAATATATATATTAAACAATAGACAAGCAAGGTCAAGACCAAGCTTCAACATGGTACTTACCAGCCTTCTCCAATGCCCTTAGCCACCTTACAGCATATTCCCGTGGAAGCTGAGTTTCTTTCGATATAATTTCCTCAAAACTTGACCATACATCCGAAGGCATCTTTGTTGAAGAACCTGCAACATATACAGCCGCACCCGTGCTAAGCATGCTCCAAATTCTTTCACTATGTTCCACCATCTTATGTTGTACGTAAACCTTTTGTGGTTGATCTCGGGAGAAAGCTACGTAAAAGCCCCCACCTTTCTCCTCAGAAAGTACTCTGGAATTTGTTGAATTCGATAACCAAAAATCTCGATATAAAAAGTCATTATCCTCATTGCGACAGCCAAAGAAGAACAAAATTGGAGCAGTTAACATAGAGTGGTTTTCCATGGACCTTTCCTCTACGAATCCTCTGAAGGGTGCACACCCTGTTCCAGGTCCAACAAGAACTATGGGAAGGGATGGGGACGGGGCGGGAAGATAACCCTTACGGAACCATACTGGGACATAAACACCTGTTATGACATAAAACATATCCAAATACATCAATAAGTAGATCAAAATTAAGTGCTACATCAATAACGGATGCTAAATTACCCTCAAGGGTGTCTGGCACCAAATGCTTTAGATCTTGGGTTCAAGCCTTCAAGTTAAAAAATTAATAACTTAAAACCTTAGTMTCTTAGAATTGGCTTTGAGGTAAGTGAAGCCTCCTAAGATTAGTGGGGTGGGCTAAAAGCATAATGCAAAATGTGGCCAGTGGCCACCAATAAATTTTTTTTTCTTTTTTTCTTTTTTTCTTTTTTCTTTAAATAAGAAAACGACTCAACGGCCTAAGAACAGGGGGCGAGGAGGCCCCTCACCAAAAAAACTAGTAAAGCAAAGCTCTCTAGTCTTGAAGGATCCTAGAGAGGTTGTAGTTATAAAAAAATTTTGTATTCCTATGACACCACCATAGTAACTCATATTGTTCGTTTTATTGGATGCCACCGATAAAATAATAACAATAATAACAATAGATGCTAAGTTCTATTCCACGTACATTGTCTAGGATCGAGTTCGGCAAGCCAACTTGAGCAAAGACCCGAGCGGTTCCTTTTATATGGTGTCGTCCAAGATACTACATTTACAGTTAAGTGCACCTGATTTGGGTGAGCTAAACGGGAAGAAGATATGGAGAATGCTCTTGTTTTCAATGGAGGAACCAACTGCACCAACCAATCAAATGGCATTTTGACAGAAGGAAAATCTTGTAATACCTGTGGTACAATACAAAAACAAGTAAATGGGTATGTTTTCATCTTCTAGCTCACTATTGGGTATATTTCAAACTACAGAAACGGGCATGTTTTTGCTAAAGACAAAATGCAGCAAAAATATTTGGGGTATGCAAAATGATTATTAAAATGAATTTCCAATAAAAGCTTTCAAGTTATGACAATGATTAGAGCCTGCATTTATGTAAATATTTGGAATTACCTCGAGAACGTTTCTTCTTTCCTTTTGATTGTACTGATATAAATCATCTCTTCCTTCAGGTGAGGCAAAATATTGAAGTCTATCCTTTTCATGTGGAGCTGTCGCATAGTAACTCATAACCTGGAAGAAAAATTAAACTTAAACATAGATGCAGAAAAAGAAACCAAAGAAATAAACACTTAAACTTATATTCTTTCCTTTTTCAATCCCAAAATTAGTGGCTGCCTTAGCACTTTCTCCACTGTTACTTTTGTTTCTATATTTGGCATGTAGTTTGTATATATTGTAAGATTGTATTGTATGCAAAATATGGGTTAGGGTACCAGTTACTCTCTAAAGGTCAGAGGCTTGAGTCCCCACCCCTCCCACACACCTTGTACCAAAAAAAGTACATGGGTAATAAAAATAGTAATCTATAACTCTCTCTTTCCCATCAATAATAGTTACATGCTGCAGCAACTGAACACCATGGAAAAAATGAGAAAAAAACATAAAGGACTTGCCTCAAAAAAGTAGCGTCGAGGAGAAGCTGAGGCAACATCCATTGTCAATTCAATGAAAGTTTTCAATTTGGTAGGGACCATTTTGGCATTTAGGACAGGATCCTGCTGCCGTCCATTTCTTGGAGAAACCTGAAATGAGATGTGTTATTTGGTATAGAGAAGATTTACTTACACAACAAGTTCATTTGAAGATGAACTTTAAAGGATTAACGTCAACAAAATGAAAAATGCAGAGTAGGAAGAAAGTTATAGATTTGACTACCGATAGAAACTCGAACTTTTCATTGTATCATATCTTCTCTTTCAAATACATAGTATTTTGCCTAGAAGATAAAGAGAACAGCTAAAAAGAAAACATAGCAAATGACAGTACAATTTGCCAACCCTAACGAATGTCACCAATGAGATCTAGACTCGAACTCAACGAATTAGACTAAAAGGATAATACGAGAGGATAAGAAACAGAAGTCCTTAATAAGGAAGTTTCATTGAAGCATGTCAATGAATCAAGGAGGGCTTTAGTTTGTTCTTTTTTCTAAAAATCCGGAATACAATGTTCTAAAACTGAGACGAAGCAGCCAAATAAACCAACTCATTCTTTGACTCATCCTCAAACTTCGGTAGCTATCCACCATACCAAGCATTTCAACTATATATATCGTTACTTAATGAATATACCATGTCATTTCTTTCTAAATTAACTAGGATGTGCTGACTGGTGGACTTTATCATTTGTCCAACAGTCTTCATATTTAGTTTAGTCATGTTGCACAGTACTATAAGCAATTAACACAACCATATTATTATCAGGGCTAAAATTTGTCTCTGTCTCAATCTTGAATTTCAAGCAAAAACAGATCTACTTCGGATTAGTACACAAATTACTAGTGCTGTAGCCAGACTAAGGCATAGATGGTAGATCTAGAAAAAAATTGTTTCTTGTTCCTCAGCGGTTACCAAATATCCACCAAGAACAGTATATAGTAAAGGGAGGTTAATCCTCCATCATCAACAAAACCTACCTAACTCATCAGTTAGTTCTTTTTAGATTATGGACTTGGATCAAGTCCATATAATTATAACGGTTTGTTATTTCCTTTCCAAATATCATTTTTCCTTGATTGCGTTAGGCCTCCTATTGTAAGTGTCTATGCCACGAGGTAGAAAAGGATATAGCCTCCCAAAGTTAGTGTGACGTTCCACGCTTTATATATAATTAGAATGTTTGTGAGGTAACCATTTTGTTAAGAGTGACTGGAGAGAGAAGCTATCCATCTCAAATTGGTCTAGCATAATTCATGAATTTTTCTATTTGTTTTGTTTGTGAACTCTTTATTTTATGAATAGGAGTGGTAACTATCAGATTACAGAAAATAAATAAATAAGTTCTTCCACACTTAATAAAACCAGTGGAAGAAAGTTTTCAAAGAATTGACAAAAGAGTACATAGAATTTCAATTTTGCACATCTTCAAAGTGATGAAAATAAAATAATTAATTAATTAATCTAGCACATGTGCATCCCACACAATGAAAGGATGATCCTGGAGAAGTATTTCCCAAGAAAATCTATAATAAGATGACCACTTAGAATTTACGAACTGGCAAGCCAAACTCTTACAGTGATAAACGACTCGGGGTCCAAATTGCAATGTTGTATGAAAGCATCTACAGCAGCAGGATTCTGACTAGGAAGAACCTCGAGGACGTCACCAACTTCATATTCTATTACCTAAAATTAGTTCAGAATGCAATTAATGTCAAAAAAGAACAAAAAAGGATAATGAAAAAGTGGACATTACCAACTTACAGAAGAAACAAATTCAAATTCAAAGTGGCGCACATCCTTTCCGGAGCCTACTTTACACAAATGCTGATTTTTTATCTACATATATAAAAAAAAGGTTAATAAATGATTTGAGAATAGAAAAGATATTAAGAATATGATCTAAGTTATTAAAAAATCTCAAAATAAAAAGAAAAGCCCTGTGGGCAAGAATTGAGATAAAGACGATACAATATCTAACCTTGCAACAAAAAATGAGTTATTTAGCAATATTTAAAGAGACAGGTCATTTTATTTTAATGCAAAGTTAAGCCTAGTAAATTAAACCAACAATTCACCCCCCAGCCCTTTGTGATGTCGTGTGATCTAGGTTAACATTGCATTTCAGTTTACATGCTGTTTAGTTAGTTGTCCTACTGTTAATTCACTTGTTACGTGTTAGTCAATTAGTTCTCGTGCGGGCAGAATGGTTGTCACTGGAGAGCATCCTTAAAGGCGTCATTAAATAGTATATCTTATTCCAAAAAGAGATTGAAAAAGATTCCCGGAAGTAATCAGCTAGAATATTGAAATTTTCTCTCAACTAGTTGGAAGAGTATAAGTAAGAAGAAAGCATCAAGCCGCCAAGGTACATCATTCCACGGTCAAAATCCAAATGTCTTACGAGAACCTATACTCAGTAAGGTTTTCACCCTTAGTTGATTAACAAAGTGGATATGATACTACAAAGCTAGCGAACTCTTCCAGAATTCCAGGTTTTATCCTATTAATGAATCACACCACAAGACATGCCAAGTTCTTCATCATCAATAATTTTGGACGTTTTGCGAATAAGTTTAGACAATCCCAATTATTTGTCATCAGGAAGATATTGAGTCAATTGACCAATGACTTCAATGGGGGAATTGGAAAAATAGTTCACCTAGGGTTCAAAATTGAATTCAGCTTCCATCCCATGATTAATACTCCCTCGCTCTTTGTATCACACCCATATACAACAAAATCTCTATATATTAAGTGATGTCAAACTTTGAGAAGAAACAATAGAGTCAACTAGCCAAGGTTTAATACCATATTAAGAAAGCAATCAGGTTTTTTCTTGCCAAGGGAACATTTTCCAGGAGACATCAAGCGAGCACTCTCAATTTGTATCTCCATCCGCTTCAAATCTGAGAGACAACAGCAATGTCAATTAGTCAATAAATTGTAGGAAGGCTACCAAAAAAGAAATTAACATCACATCAATCATGAAAAAAATTAGAAGAAAATAATTCATAGAGTAAACTAAAAAACACAGCAAGTTGCAGACAGAAAAAAAATAAACCATGGTCCACTGAACACAGAATTGAAGACAGATTAAGATATAAGTAGATCTTAAATATTCCCATGAATTGCTATGTTTCTTATGAAATAATAAATAAATAAATATTCATATGAATCAGAACCAAGATATTCTACTCCAAGAAAAAGAATAATATATCAATAAGAATGCTGCAGAAAGTATTCTTTGTTTTTTACTTTCTCTTTTATTATTTTCTCTCTCACTCCTTTGGGAGTTTGAATCTTTGAACAATTTTTGTTCCTTTTCATACCTTCAATGAAAAGTTCATATCTTGTTAAAAAAAATGAAGGCTAAAAAAAGTTTGAATCATGTTCTTTGGGATTGTCAGTATGCTTCAGCTATTGGGATAGTTTCTTTGGGAATTTTGATATGCAGTTGGCTTGTAGCTGTTCATGCATGCTTATCATGGAGGAAGTCTTGTTTCATCCCCCCTTGTCGTGATAAAGGGGCGTTTTTATGGCAGGCATCCTTTTTTGTGATTTTGTGGAACATTTGGCTTGAGAGAAATAAGAGAGTCTTTAGCAATAAGGAAAGTTTCTGGGAGGAGGTTTAACATTTGGCTAAGTTCAATGCCTCTCTTTACGCTTCCGTCACCAAAGAATCTAGTGATTACCATTTATCTCTCGTTCTTTTGAATTGGAGCTCACTTATATAATTTGCTTTTCTTAGTACTTTAATCTTTTATTTTTACTTTCTTTTGTCTTTGGTTGTTTCTTGGCTCATTTTGGCTTGGCATTTCCTCCTTTTTTTATTGCCCTCTTGTATTCTTTCATTTGTTCTCAATGAAATTTGTGGTTTTCATAAAAGAAAAAAAATGATACGTGCCCTTCAAATGAGGAAATAATAAAAAATTGAAGGAAACATGTTAAGTCAGAAGAAGAGATGAGATAATAGTTTCTGTAATACTCAATTTCACAAGATTATACAGCCTAATTAAATAAACTTGGACCTAAAACCAAACTAGGAAGACCAAGATGCATAAGGCAACTAAGTTACTAGCAGGGTGGGGGTGGGGCTTGGGCCCAAGGCCATATACACCCGACAGGACCCGAATAAACAAGACTCCTCAAGATTGGGTATCCATATTGGAGTTTTATGAGAATACTGCTTTTTGGAGACTTGAAAAGGCTTAGAGATTATTCTGTTAACTTTTTCTTATTGTCTGTAAATCTTGAAATGCTTTGTGGTAATTCTTTAGTCTAGATATTGGGTGGAGGTGGGAGAGTGTTCTAAAACTAATTGTTCTTTAAAGGTTTCATTAGGCGGAGAGTTTGGTGGTTATTTATTATTATTATTACTATTATTTTTTTTTTTTTTTATAACTGGGAGTCAGAGCTTTACTCCTCTATATCCAAGGGCACCCATACCAACTAAGGCTCGGACCCAAAAGACATCAAAGGTTTTAACTCACCAGAAGGTTTGAACTTGAAACCTCTAAACCAGACCAAGAGAACTCGAGGCCTTGCCAACCGAGCTGCCTCTTGGGGGCTAGTTCGATGGTTATTCTTATTCCATAATAAACTCTAGTCGATAAGTTTTTCCTAAAGATTTCAGGTTGGGTTGTGTGATATGTACTCAGGGAAGTTCTTAAAGGGAAATGCTTTTACAGGTTTGGTTATTGTGTAGTGTAATTTAGGAATTCCAAAACCAATTCAGACATAAAGCCCTTTCGTCTTTTGGTTGCAAGAAACTTGTGAAAAAAATGCTGAATTTTCAAAAGAATTTTCGATTATGAAGAGTGTAATAGAAGGTTGTAATTACAAAAGAATTTTCTGATGCACCACGAAGAAGTAGTGTGATGTAAACTTCTACAAAAAAATATCAATGAATTTTCTATTAATTTTGAATCTTTCATTACACTCTTCATAATCGAAATTCAGGAAACTAGCATACCTGAGGTTAATTGTGTATCCAACTTGCCCACATCGTGATATATAACATGAATGCTTGGTTGATCAATTAATGTGTCACTTGAAAATGCAAAATCAATGCCTTTTGGAAAGAACATTGGAGTAATATCATTCAATGACCTCCACAATGATAACATCCAAGGATCTAGAGCAGCCTCATACCTGGTGGAGAGTGAGAGCATTAATCTTTCAATCACTTAATTTTATATCGCCATAAAATGCAGGTTAAGGAAGACATTAAAAACATTCAAGCAACTATGTTTGTAAATGTTGTCGGGGTTCCTTCTAACCCTGACTCATAGGCTGTTCCTTTTTTCCTTTTTGTGGAAAATACTTATCTGTTTCCTATTAAATAAATAAATAAATAAATATATATATATATATATACATATATATACATATATACTTAGTTTTGATGGAATCAAATTATTTGTATTCCAATATATTAATCATAAGAAATACATGGCCTTCTTATATAGAAGATAGGCTCAAACATAAATGGAAATAAAGATAAAATAATAATTAATATTGACAACTAATTTACAGTTAATATTTACAAATAATAAACCAACACTCCCCCTCAAGCTGGTTGAAAGATATCTTCCATTGCCAGCTTGTCAAATTGTACTTTCGGTAGTCCTTTTGTCAACACATCGGCAGTCTGCTCCATTGTTGGGAGGTAAGGGATACATATCACGCCGGTATCAACTTTTTCTTTTATGAAATGTTTGTCAATTTCAATATGCTTAGTCCTATCATGTTGAACTGGATTGTGGGCTATGGAGATGGCAGCCTTGTTGTCGCAATAAACTTTTATGGGTGCTTTCTGAAATACTCTCAATTCTTCAAGTAACCTTTTTATCCACRTCCCTTCAYAAATACCATGGGCCAGRGCCCTAAATTCTGCTTMAGCACTGCTTCTAGCMACTACATTTTGTTTCTTACTTCRYCAAGKTACTAAGTTACCTCCAACAAATGAACAATAACYAGAAGTAGATCTTCTATCTGTCATACTTCCTGCCCAATCAGCATCGGTATAAACTTCAACCTGCAAATGGTTGTGTTTTTTGAACAATATACCTTTTCCTGGAGTTCCTTTCAGATATCTTAAAATTCTATAGGCAGCTTCAAAGTGAACTGATCCTGGTGAGTGCATAAATTGACTTACCATGCTTACTGCAAAGGTAATATCTGGACGTGTGTGAGACAAGTAGATGAGTCTTCCCACAAGACTTTGATATCGTTCCTTATCCTTTACTTCTTCTTCTCTTGCAGCTTCC